CAGGAAAGGATGGAGGCCTGTGCCTCAATGCTGGATGGCTATCAGCAGTTCACTCACCCTGGGAGCAGAGACACAGGCAGAGACAGAGTTAGTAACTGCTCTGCAGAGAGGTGCTATTTGGAAGCCTAATGCATAGTCTCTTGAGGTCTCATGCTGCAATCCAAGCTGCTGCAGTGTCACTGCTAGGGCGTGCCCAACGCCCAACAGTCTGGACCCACTGGAGACTGGGGCAGTGCCGTTGTAGGCAGATCTGATCTCTGGAGCCTACAGCATCAGTGCCCAGAGCCTAACCACTGGCACCCACAGCACCACAGGCTGTGGATGCAGTCTTCAGGCTGGAACAGGAGGAGCGGAGGGAAATCCAACAGCCTGTCACCATGAAAACAAACTCACCTCTCAGGAGTGAACTGAGAGATAATGGTTCTGACCTCGGAGTATTAAGTACATCCCCTTGAAATACTTACTCCCTTCGTGCCGCTGGCAAAGCCAGAAACACACCGGGCCCTGAGCTGATGATCAGACAGATCTGGGGGAAGTGAAGAAGCTAACTCTAGGGTAATCCAGATCTGCCTGCTCTCAGGATAGACTTCACACTTTGTGGGGTGAAAATCCCCCATTATCTCACCCGAAAGCATCAAATCAGCTTCACTGCTTGAGGGAGAGTTGGAGGCATACATCTCATCCACAGGCATTAACTCTTCGCTAGGAGCCTTGACCCAAGTAGCACAGGACAGGATCTTACCCCAGCAGGCACGGGCAGGGTCCAACCCACCAGTGGGGTCTAGTGACCTGGGATGCAGAGGCACAGAGCTTGGGTTCCCCCTCGCTGCCACCTTGGCCAAATTTCTGGTGTGCCTCAGTCTCCCCTCCCTTCCCCCCCCCCTTGCGGAAAACCTCACCCTGGGGTGGCCACCAAGGGCTCCTGCCTTGTCCCAGCTGCTCAGCGTCCACCACTTGCCTGGATCCCCACCATGAGCCCCATTGCTTCAGCCGCTGCTGCTGGCTCCAGCCTGTGCCTCCCACCTCCTCCCCAAGCAGCCAGCTTGGGTTTCTGTGCCTTTAACTCTTTGCTGGGCTTGTGGGACTGGCTAAAGCAGCAGCCTGATGCATCCCAGCCCCCACCCTGTGCCCATGAGGGCGGGCATGCACACAGTGGGGACCTTCCCCCATGAGGTCAAGCCCCTTGCACCCTTGCTAGGAAAGCCTCTGGCCTCTGCATCCCATGACGCCCACACACACACATACACATACATGTCCCTGCATGATCACATACACACATGCCCCTGCATGATCATACACACACACACAACCTTGCATGATCTTTCACACACACCCATGCCCCTGCACAATCATGTGCACACACACCCATGCCCTCGCATGATCATGTGCGTGTGCACACACACACATCCCTGCATGATCATACACACAACACGCCCCTGCACGATTGTACACACATGCATGCACCCTTCCATGATTGCACCCCCCCTTTCATGACTGCACATGGACACACACACACACAGACAACCCTGCCTGATTGCACACATACATGCTCCTGCATAATATCACACGCAGCCCAGAACAGGCATGTCCCTCTGCACCTCCCTGCTCCTGGCTGCTCTTTCCCCACTGTTTCCTGCTCCCCACAGTGTCTCTGCTGCTTGGGAAAGCAGGCAAGCTCTTCTTCCCTTGCTGCCTGCCTGACATTTCCTTAGGCAGCTTGGCCTGGAAAGGCACTGGAGAGTGGTCTTTCTGAGGTGTGCTGACTCCTCCAGGGCACAAGGTCCCCACTAGGTTTCATAGATGTGGGACTCTGCACCCCACTGTAGGTTTCGTGCCAGGTCAGTCTCTTCCTGGCATCAAGGACAGGTGCCAGGTTATGGCTCTGGGAAAGAGAGTCAGAGAGGAGATTCCCTTTGTTATTTGCAGTCCCTCAATCTCATTCCCCACAGAACAACAGCCCAGCCTTGATCCTCCTTTCCCTATGCTGCAAAGCAGGATGGAAAGAGACTCTCCCCCAGGTCCCTGGAATAAAGTCAAGCCAGGCCTGACTCTGGCTCATGGCCTGTTCCCTGGGATGGAGGGGGTTGGGTAGCAGAGGCAAGAGAAGCCATTTTTCCTTTCTGCTGAGGTTGGAAGTGCAGAGTCAGCAGCTTTGTTGTATCTCTTGTAATTTTAGAGGGAAAGTGGAGAATGTCTCCCAGCCCTTTGGCTGCTAGGAGGGGATTTTTTTTCCTCCTGAGTGTTTAGGCTAGAAATCTGAGGGCGGCTGTGGCCAGCTCGCTTCCCAGAGAGCAGCTCGTGCTTGGCAAGGGTCCCAGCACCCTTGGAGAAGCAAACGGAAAGTCTGGGAAAATATGTTCAAGGGGAAGAGGGGGAGGGGGAGTAGAGAAAAGAGGCCAAAGGTAACATTAGTCTGCTTGGTATGTTGGAAGCCACAAATGAATGGAAGCGGAGTGGATTCCCCCCTTGGCCCAGGAAGCAGAGTGGGCGTGACAGGGCAGGGTGTTAGTGCCCTGTCACTCCTAGGTTCTCCTCTGGACTCTGCTACTGACTGGCTGTGAGACCTTGAGCAAGTCCCACTTGCCTCACTGTGCCTTAGTTTCCCCATCTGCAGAATGGGGAGACTGGGCCAATTCGCTGCTAGTGGAGTTGTGGCAGAGCTTTGTGCAGAAGGATCCTGAATCTTCTGCTTCCCACTGCTGGATGTGGCTTAATCATTCAATAATGTGCACGAAGTGCTAAGGACTGGGCTCTCCTGGGAGGTGTGAGGGGGACAATTGCAGCGAAGACAAAGGCAGTGGCAGTCTCTGAGATGTCTTGACCTAACCTAGCTCCAGTGGGATCCTTTTCAGCCCCTTTTGCAGCTCTCATCCATGGGAGGCATTTTCCTTTCATGGGGAGGTGGCAGGAGAGGGTGGCTGGTGTCTCCTCAGCACCTTTCATACCCCATCCTTCCGAGCACTCAGGGCAGGGCATGTTAAGGGATGATTTTGTTGGCCAGTGCCTTTGCCCTTTCATTACTTGATCAGAACAGTGGGGGAATTCACAAGCCCTCCTGTCTACTGGTTTCCAGGAGCAGGCGGCTTGCAGAACTGTATCAACAGCCCCCTCTTCTGGAGATGGAACTAACACTAGCCAACAAACTTTTGCTGTTATAGTTTATACCAGTTCCCTGAATGGAATATGCTGCATCAGGCCTTGCATGCCAGTATACCTGCAGCAACAATGGGGTTTCTGCCAACGCAGCTGTCAATCAGGAATGTGGTTTCCAGGCCACTAACCAACACAGCTGTGCCAGGAAATCTTTTAAGTGTCCACCAAGCTCAAGGCATCTCCTGTACATAACTCCCCCCCCACCCCTTGCCAAGCACACACTGCCTTGGAACCAGCCCAGGAAAGCTCTTGCCAGCTTGGATTCAAGCAGTTGCTGCTGAAGGGCAGCTGCTTACCCTGTCCCAAACACAAGTTTAGTGCTCGAGGACTGAGCCCAACGTCCCCTTCCTCATGCTTTGTCCCCTCATTGCATGCACACAGCCCCAATATGCTCAGGACCCCCCACCCCCGCTCAGCATTGCCTGCATCTTACCCCCATAACTATGCAGCTCCTCCAGCCTTCACATACTCATCACATACATACAACTCCCCCTATACACACACACTCAATTTCTCATAGCTTCCCCACATGCCAAATAGGGCTGCACTCTTCCTGGATCTGCAGTGGACATGTTATCCGTATCTGAAGGCAGGCAAAGAATCCCTTCCCCCTTCTTCCCAGCCACGTAAGCAATTTTCCTTTTCCTGTTCCCCCCCTCCCCTAAGTCCAATCCACTTCCCTCCCTTTCCCATTCTTTGGGTACTTTGAGTAGAAAGCAGAGAACCCCTTACCTCTGAACCCCGTAAGCGGGGTCTTGTGCTGGGCTACGTGTATCCTCAGCTGCTCCTTGTTAGACTGGGAGAAGAGAGGGCGAGCAAGGACCCAGCTGATTGAAACCAGATGCCAGCCAAGTGTTGTTATGTAATTACTGTCTTTTCATCCTGCCTGGAAGCCTAGTCCTTTGTGCAGCTCTCCCCCACACTCTGGATGGTGCCAGGCTGAGTTCTTTCTCTCCATATCATAACTTACTTGGCTTAACAGCTGATTCTCTCCTTGGAATGGGGCCTACTCCTTTGGACTAGCTCCAGCCCTTTCCTTAGAAGGAAGGAGTGAGCGTTGTCTAGTGGCCACAGCAGGGGAACTGGCAGTCACGATTTCTCAGCAATGTTCCCAACTCTGCTACTGACATCCTGGGTAATCTCGGTCAAGTCACTTGGGCTGTGTATATGTGATAAACTTGCCAAGCACAGCAACGGTTCTTTCAAGCATGCTGCACCAGTCTAGGCAGGCTGCATCCTGAACCAGCTACATCCAGCCAGCACAGCAAATTGCCCAGTTAGCAGCAACTAGGTGTCAGCTAATTGGCTGTCACCCAGCTGTGCTGAGTAGCTTGCCCAAGGTGTCATATGAACATGGTTAAACCATTTTGGGTTCAGGAGAAAGCCTGCTTGAGGGTGTCATAGACATCCATGGTATAATTTACATACTCCTCAGTGTCCCCATCTGTATAGCGGAATATTCAGCCAAAGTATATTAAAAAACAGCCACCACCAATTTTTAGACCCCTTTAAGGCCTCATAAGTTGGGGGCTCAGAATTATGAGCCGCATCTGATAATCTTGGCCATCATTTTGGCCCTTTGACGTTGTTGTGAGGCTAAATTCTCCAATGGTTGTAGAGTTCTGCCTGGAGTACCAAAGCAGCCTTTCAAGTACCAGAGAGGCCTGAGGGGCAGGCAGGGATGCTGTATTGTGGGACACCTAGAGAGCTGCCTAGCCCACCTGTTGCAGATTCTGTAGTATGACAGACCTAGGGATGTCCTTTGAGATGTTGAGGAACAAAGCAATATCACCTTCCACCCAGTACACTTCTGTCCGGTTTTATCACAGGTTAGCAGCTGTGCACATCTGTACACTTGCATTCTGTTGTGGGATAAAAACATCTGTCCTGTATCAAACATGTAACAAATGTGATGCTTGTCCATACCCCTGGAGGCCAGGGGCAGGTAGTATTATAACCTCAGAGTGTTGTTCTATGTTCCTCATAAGGCAAATGGCCCTTTGCTCTTATGTAAGGACAAATTAGGGCTCAATGGGGCCCACATCAAGCAGGAATAGGAGGTACAGACTCACCTGTGTCTTTCTGAGAGCAGCTGCCAAATGTTAGGGCCCTCTCGCAAATGGGGGGTAGGGAGCTAAGCCCCCAGTTCACCTGCTCTGTCAGACCAGCAGTCCAACGTGAGGATGTTTGCTTCACCATGCCAAAGCCATGACACCTCAAGGCTGCACCAGCTGTATTTGCAGTGCTTTGCACTGAGGTGCTACAGTGAGGGATTCATCAAAGACATCTCAATGGCAGATGTGCACGTGGCAGAATCAGTCCAGTGGCTAATTTGGATTCCCACCTACATCACTGGCCGTTAGTAGATGGATCGCATCCTGCGGCTCATGCAGCCCTCTCCCTTCCCATTCACATCCTTTCCACCTCCAGCCAAACCAGCCATCACGGATGGCTCTGTGCAAAACGTGTTCTTGTCGGATTGGATGGGACTGAGCCCTGCTCAGCGGATGGTGTCCCACACTAGGAAAATCCTATTTTTCCACAGATGTCATTTGTGGGAAAGAATTTCCTAATATCATCTCCCTCTGGGAGACATTTTGTTTCATGAAGCAAGTCAGGATTTTCCCTTGCACGCACTGAGCAACAGGATGAGATATTTTCTCCTTGTGTAGCTGTGACCCAAACAGTTACCTCCACTGGAGAGTCAGCATTGACCAAGCAACCCTGACTCATAGGCTAGTGACTAGTTGGCTGTACTGACCACTGGCTTGATCCAAAGCCCAGTAACTGAATGGGCATCTTTCCATGGGGCGCTGGTCAGGCACCAAATGTATTAGTTACATTGGCCACAACTGAGGATCATCTGTGACCAGCTGGATTCTCATATTTTGTGCCCTGCTCCTCTCCCATTCCTATGAGCCCTGAGGGCAGGGCTGGAAACTTAGGAAAACAGGTGACCCTATTGAGAGGGGCCTGGGTGGGCAAATAGCTCCACCTGCAGGAGAAATAGAGAACAGCGGCTAGAGCCATTGGTGGCCTCTCCTGCTCTCCTGTGCATCCTCTACCCTGGCACCGTATGCGCCTGGTGTCAGCAGTAAATGCTGCTCTCTGCACTGACAGCGCTACGCATGGGACTGGGTCCAATGCCGAATGAGGTCCGTGAAAAGACTCCTCATTATGTCAGTGAGTGTTGCGTGAAGCCATGGTGCTGAAAGCAATTTAGCGCTGTCTACCCAGTTCTTACGTTAGCGTCAGCGCAGTGAAGCTGCCCCCTTGGCCGACAGCCGGTACAGTATGAACTAGACAATGCTTCTATCTACCCCACTGCCCCAGATAGAAGCCCCCTTTCCTAGCTAGAGACTGTGATGTAAGACTATTTGAAAAGTGCAGGTTGTGACTATGTGTCCTGAAGTGGATGCACATGCACCATATATGAGTTAGTATGTGTGCGCCTGTTTTAAACATGTGTCTGTGGGTGTATTTTTAGGTCTGTGTGTATATTACACAGTTGAAGTGTGTGCATATTTTAGACAGTACATGTTATCTTACATGTATGAGTGTGTTTAGGTGTCTGTTTTTGTGTACCCAGCTGTGCACTTGGTATGTGTGTGAGGCTGCATGACCTGCTGAGTGCGAGAGCTGTGTGAGCTGGCTGCATTCTGTGTTGCGTTTGCATATTTTATGCTTGGAAAGACAAAGAACACCAAGTTTGCATGAGCAAATATTTACATATTTTCCACTCGTTCAAGCACATAAAGCATATCATGTCTCTGTTGCATCCCCAAGAGAGCAGGGAGCGTCTCATTTCTGAGGGAACCTCTCTTCTTTCCCACCCTCCCTATCTCTAGCTGTTGGCTTTCCTGCATCAAGAACAGATTAGAAATGACCCCCTACACTCACACACAGACATACATATCTGTAGCCTTGATCCCTTCTCCCAAATGCATCTGAAGTGAAGGCGCATGCTGCAAAGCCATAGGTCATTTTGCCGTTCGCGTTATCTGCGCTGCTGTTTTATCACGCCGATCGCATAATGGCTTTCTGACAATAGCCAAGAAGGACGTCAAGGGCAGGCTGCGCTAGCAAGACAGCCTTGCAGTGTGCCTTCCCCGCACTCAATTTACTCCTCTCTTGAGATGCTTTTCATCCCTGGAAAGTTCTCTTTAAAAAAAAACTGCCCCAAAGGGGGAGGGTCAAACAGAGAGTGCATGTATGAAACTGCGTGATTCTGTTCTTGCACGGGTACAGTGTGTGTATTTGACTGTGTGTGTGTGTGGCATAGAACATACTGTGTAGGGGTGTTGTTCTCAAGGTCAGTAGGCATATCCCTGCTTGAGATACACACTCACGCACACTTGCATGCACGCACTTTTGCATAGGGTCTTCATACCCTTAATCACCCTGACTGTGATCAAACGCAAGCTGAGAAGAGGCATTGCAGGGGCTGCTAGAAGCACTGCGGCCTCTGCTAGACTTGCAGTTCTGATCTCTACGTGAGGAGAATTAAACCTTTTGTGTAGTGAAGGGTTTGATGGCGCCCTTATCTCTGCGTCTCTGCACCCAGAATAGAAAAATCCATTTCTACATCTGACTGGAACAAATCCCCCAGAACATGTCCAGAATTCATCTCTTTGCTGGGTGCAGGACCTTGAGCTTTGACTGTTCCCAGAAGCAGCTCCCTGCCTGGCACAAGATAGAAAGTACTCAGGAGGCCTCTTCTTGGTGGCCCACAGGCTAATGCTACTTACACACAGACACTGGTGAACTCACCAGGATGGAAGGAGGCCTGTGCGATAGAATGAACTGTGATGTTGCGCTCAAAGCTTTTTTTTGTGAAAAATGGCTCCACATCAAGAATGCAAAAGGTTGCAGATTTTTTCCAGCATGACATTTTTTTCCTGAACTTTGGATTAAAAAAAACAATTTAAATGTTGGTTTTCCCCCCGTGTTTTCTGTTCTGGTTTCATGCTTTTTTCCTGTGCTGTCACTCAAAAGGGTGGAGGTGGAGAAACAGGTAGAAAATTATGGGGAGGGGCAGGGTGCTGTGTTTTGCACTTGAAAAAAATCAGAAAACATTGACTTTTTGCTTCAAAAACCTTAAAACACATTTAATGTGGTCCACAAAATATTACCTACAAACCAGCTCCACTAAGGGAGCTGAGGAGTGACCTCCTCAATGGACATGAACAAACGAATTCAGCAAAGTGACCCTGTGTCCCATTTTGCAGGCAGGACAGTCAGTGATTTCTGTCCTCAGGTACTGCAGAGACATGAGTCCTGGTGTTTCGTTTGTGGTGTCTTATCACAGAGGAGGCTATAAAGGCTGAATGCAAGCTGCTCTCAAGCCAGTGATCCTGGATAAAGTTCTATGTCAACCTGTGATGAAAAGAGCATCTATAGCATTAGCACTGCAAGTTAATGAATCATCCAGGGACCCCCATAACTCCTTAAGGCAGAAGCTAGAGCATCTATTTAGCAGTCTAAGGAGATGGAAAACCTTGGCATGTCTACACCCTGCATAATCTAGGCTGTCTTTCTCCAGCTGAGTCCTCTTATGGCAGTCACATATATGCACCTCACTGCTCAGTAATAGCCACTAGCTGCATCATGTGCTTCCTTCCCCTAAGGTCCATTCCCACTCTACTATATCTTCCAGAGGTGCCAGTTTAGCAGACATGGAGCAAAGCAGAGGGAAACACCCTTATACCACCCCTACACAGATGAACATTCATGTCTTTAACTTACATACCCAGATCGGAGCACCTCCATATATATATATCATAGATTTCATAGACATTAGGGCTGGAATGGACCTTGGAAGATCTTCAAGTCCAGCCCCACACCCCAGGGGCAGGAATTCAGCAGGGGTCATAGGATCCCAGCAAGATAAACATCCAAATGTCTCTTGAAGGCATTCAAAGTAGGTGCTTGAACCACCTCTGGTGGCAGTCTATTCCAAAACTTGGGGGCTCGGACAGTAAACAAGTTCTTCCTTATGTCCAGCCTGAAACAGTGTTGGAAGAGTTTGTGACTGTTCGACCTTGTCATCCCTTGGGGCGCTCTGCTGAACAGACATTCGCCCAGATCCTGGTGAGCACCCCTTATAAACCTATAGGCAGCCACCAGATCACCCCTGAGCCTGTGCTTTTCCAGGCTGAAGAGTCCCATAGCTCTCAGCCTCTCGTCAAAAGGTCTGTTTTCCTGACCTCTGATCGTGCGTGTGGCTCTCCTCTCCACCCTCTCAAGCTTCTCCACATCCTTTTTGAAATGTGGCGCCCAAAGCTGGATGCAGTATATATGGAGGAAGAAGGAAACATAACAGTGTGCTGCACTAAGTGATATAGGAGGATGGAGAACAGGTACTAAGGAACAGGGTAACTTTCCTCACATTAAGCTAAAGACTGGCATTTATAAATACACGTACCTCCAGGCTAAGAAAAGGGAACACATTTCCCTAGAGAGATGAAAGAGCGATATGTGGAATGCAAGAGAGGTTGCCTTGGATGTACAGACTGTCACGATGGAGAGGAAAGACAGAAGTGTCTCAGCCCTTAGACATCTGGGTCAGTGGCATCGGCCCTTCACCTTCCTCCCTTCCCCCACTCCAGCACAAAGTGTCTACCACTGGAGAAGCAGGATCATCAGGATCAGCTCCCCCTCCCCAGTCACAGGCAGTTCAGCCCTGGAACATTGAGCTGAGGGGTCGGCACCCCTGTGTCACAAACTTTTCAGCACCAGGACATCAAGGTGAGTAGGATCAGCCCTCCAGACACAGGTCCCGGACAGCTGGAAGACATCCCTGTGCTGGCTGTCAGATCTTCACTCACTGCACTCCCTGTATGCAGTTATCTGTGCTCTTTCCCCCCGGTGCTCATTCACTCTCATATTGATTTTGAGTGAATTTGTTTCCACTGTCTCTCCCAAATTAGATTTCGTTCCTCTACTTGTCTCAACATTCAAAGTCTCCTTTTTCTGCTCTTCCAGCTATCCCTTTCAAATCTGTTATGTGCTTCTGGTCCTGTGGATGCTCTGTATCAACGTGCCCGGGCCACCCTGTCTGTTTACCTCCCCTCCCCAACATCTCTCACCTGCCTGCAATGCCTCACGGCCTTTAGCTGATACTGTTTCCACATTTCCCATGAACTTTCTTTGGCTCTCTAAGCTCTTTCTCCTCTTGCCTAGCCTCTTCACCCCTCCCACCTACTTCAGAAAAGACCCCCCAGAGGAAGGTGCCCACAAACCTGCAGAGGACTCTGGATTGAAAGTTGGTCCTCCTGATGACTGTAGCTTAGCAACGGCATTTATAGAAAAGTTCAAGGTGCGCAGAGAGGCATTTAACAGCGCCTGCAGGCATGGAGCAAGGCAGAGGGAGATACCCTCACACCACCCCCACATGCACCATGTACAGCTACCTTTCTAACATGCAGGCACAGATCAGTGCACCTCTAGCTGCATAGGCACCCAGCTTTGAACAGTCACACACACTAATACCACTAGACAATCACCCCCTGCACCTGTCTGAACACCCCCAGATACACCTGCAGAGACAAATCAGTCCTCGGCACCTGGAAAGAGATAATTGCCCTGCACCTGTTAAAAAAACCCACCCCCACAGACATGCCCAGAAAGAAACCAATCTCCTGCACCTGTAAAAAACACAACCCACGTATACCCACAGGGACAAACCAATCCCCTATACCTGCCCAAAAACCTAACCCTCATACCCTTTTAGACAAATCAGTCCTCTGGCATCCAAACAAATACTTCCACAGGCACTCACACAGAGAGACATCAGTCTCCTGCATAGACACCTCCACATAAACACCTGTACAACACATTCATCCACTGCCTGTACACAGGCACCCTCACACATATACCCATGAAGGAACAAATTCCTTGCACCTGTAAAAAGACTGCACCAAAAATCAGTGCCTCATAATTGTCAGACAACCATGTGTACACATGTAGAGTCAAATCAGTCCCCTGGACCTGAACCAACAGCCCCGCATGGACACAGCCAGAGATACATCATCCCTCTGTACCTGTACAGACACCTCCATAGACATCCAGGGACAAATCAGCTTCCTGCCCCTGTATAGACACTCACTTCCATATAAATTGACCCACCACACATGCACATGGGCACCACCGCATTCACAGGATTACTGACCAGAGACAAGCCCACCTATCTCTTTGCACATCCACCCATACAGCCTCCCAGCACAGTCATACATACAAATGGGTCAGCTGAAATAATCTGTAAAGTCCCAAGTCTTTTTGTTTATTCATAGTAAAATGGTTGGGAGTGGGTAGGGTGGGGGAGGATGGTTGGAAGTACAGCTTGCAGGAAGCTCTGCCCTCAACTCATGTCCTGTTGACCCTTTCCAATCATCGTTATCACCCTCCACCAGACTATGAAGCTTCTGGGGATTACAGAAATGGGGAAGAGAGTGTCTCTGCCCAGTCAGAGCAGCCTGCCCTTGAGGCCTGGGAGCATTTTAAGGAAACAGGGCATTTTATGCAACTGAAATGGTATCAGGGCAGTCCAGGGGTGTCCCCAAGAGACATCCCAGAGAAGCTGGAGGAATGAACAGGACAGATCTATGGCCCAGGTAGCTTGTGTTTGTGGGCAAGAACAATTTCCATGTTCCTTTCTTGGAGGGTTTAGTTCCCATGAACATTGGGACAGGCTTGGAAGCTGATTTTGGTGCAGACATAGTTGGCTACCTGTTCCAACACCCTGTGTAGGTGATAGAGGAGGAAGGGGCAGCGCTGACCCTTCTCTGTGGCTTCCCCACCTCCCATGCTGATGATATGTTCGTTAACACCAAGGCTTTGCCCCTGTCCAGTCCCCCTTTCTACCTTCACCCAGAAGCTCTCATATTGCCCCCCACCACCCCCCAATATGGATGTCAGACATTGCTTCAGAAGTCCAAGGCCGTGTTTTGCTCTTCCACATGCTTCTTCAGGTTTCTTCTTCTTTGTGTGCAGGCTGGACCTTGGTACCTTGTTGTCTGCCAACCCTCATGCATCACAACTACAACACCCTAGGGAGAGAAGAAAAGCCACATCCTCCCGTTTGCTACAAGTAACTGATGTTCAGGACACTGGTTTTCTCACAGCTCACAGGGTCCTCTGGGAGTGGTTTCTGTTCACTGCTACCTCCAGCTCCACTGCTCAGGGGGCACTCCTGCTGGCCATTGCCATTCTGGGCAATCTTGCTGACCCGTCTTGCCTCTTCTTCCTCCTCCTCCTCTTCATCTTCAGACTTCTCCAGGGGACATGCTGCAACCTCCTGGCTCTGCACTCGACGGGAGGGCCTCAGAATGGCCCGGCGGAAGCCCTGCTTGAACCGGTAGGAGAGGAAGCCATAGATGATTGGGTTGGCACAGCTGTTGGCATAGGGCAGCACCACAACAAGAAAGTAGACGCCAAAGAGAGATGGCTCCTCGGGTAATGGGCAGACCACGTTGATGATGTTGAGCACATAGAAGGGAAGCCAGCAGAGCACAAATACGGCCACCACGGCCACCACCATGCGTGTCACCCTGCGCTCTGATAATTTGCGTTTGGCTGACAAGGCCTGCACTCTCCTGCCAGAGGACCGTACCTTGATGACAATGAGAAGATAGCAGAGGCAGATGACCAGCAGTGGCCCAAAGAAGCCCAGGGCAGCTGTATAGATGATAAAGCCAGCTTTCCACACTGAGGCTGGCTCAGGCCACTGGATGTGGCAGGTACTCATCCCCAGGGGGACATCTGAGAACACTACGACAGGCAGCACCACCACGGATGACAGCACCCACACTGTGGTGCTAACCACTTTGGCCACACGTGCCGTCCGCCATTTTGATGACTTCCCTGGGTGGACAACAGCCAGGTAGCGGTCGACGCTCATCACAGTCAGACAAAAGATGCTGGTGAACTGGTTTATGGCATCTACAGCCATCACCAGCCGGCACATAAAGGAGCCAAAGGGCCAGTAGGACAGTGCATTCTGCGCAGCCAAGAAGGGCAGCCCTAGCATGAACAGCTCATCTGCCAGGGCTAAGTTCAGGATGTAGACATTGGTCACTGACTCACTAACTGAGTGGCACAGGACTACATAGATAACCAGGGAGTTCCCAACCAGCCCTACCACACAGACAATGAGATAGACCAGCGGGATGAGGACTCCACTAATTACAGCTCCTGGGCTGGCAGCTATTGATAAGTTCCCTGAGATGGGCTCTATCCAATTGATTGTGGTATTTCCCTCCTCTGGTACCATGGGTGTGGGGAAGCTGAAAGCAGGTGTGTCCATGGCAGAGGCAGAAGTGGATCGATCTCCCACTGGATCAGCTGGAGACCTGAAAGTGAGAAGAGGAGAAGAAAGATACCTATGCTTTTAAAGAAATCATAGTGAATGCACCACGGATAAAATAGCAGCTATAATGGTATGTGGGTGCAGACACATGTGGGAAACAGAGATGGGCTGTCAGAAGCTGGAGCCTCTGAAGAACATGGGAGAATGTCAGCCATCCCCAACTCCTTTAAAATGACGATGAGCATGGTAAGGATTGGGACCAGCATGGAAATGGTCCAATATATATTTTCATAAAATTTATATTTTAAAAATATATATTGGACCATTTCCATGCTGGTCCTAATCCTTACTAAAAGCCTTCCCAAGGGGGAACCCAAGGAAGCAATTACAGGCACAGAAGCTGGTGGTGTCAATCTCAGGGAGCCTGATTCTCATCCACCAGGACCATATTCCTTACCAACATCCTACAGGGCAGGCATCCCCAAGTGAAGCCACCCCACTTAGGCCTTGGGGAAACCTTGGGACAGATTAACTGAGCTCTTTCATTGTTTCCCAGGTGTTTGGACTGAATCCTGCTGCTATTAAGCTGGTCTGACCTTATCTGCTTCCCACGGAATCAGAGAGACCCTCAGAGTATCTCCCCTCGAAACCCGGAGCAAATGTGAAAAGCTTAGCTTAGTGCTCTGGAATAGAGAGGAGCTGGCTTGTATCATTGCAATCTGTGAATAAATGGGGAGATGGAGTATTTACAACATCCCATTCGGTGCAGACAGCACGATCCATTTGCATACCCCCCCTCCTACCCCACATCCCAGCAGCTTCATGTATTCTAGAGTACTGGCTGCTAATAGAAGGGGCAGCACCTGCCTCAGCCTGCAGCACCAAAACAAACTACATGCTCTCCTAATCTTTGATGTCCAATTGTCCATCAAAGCAGGCTTTGGCATGGAAACGGCACACACCCACTCAGAGCAAACCACGAACAAACAGCTGTTCGTGCCAGCTCTTGGCTGATAATGAGAGAGGCGTCACAGCGGGGGCATGACTGTCATCCTTTACCTCCTTGAGGCAGGGCTTGGGACATGTGGGATTGGCAGCTCAGCATAGGTCAAAACCTGGAGACACAGCTGCTTGCCCTAACCAATGGCTGAGGCTTCTCCAGAGATGTATCTGCAAGGCTCTCAGATGATCAGGGCTATGAAAAAGCCCTTCTGAGATTCTAAATGGCAGCCTCGCACATCCCTCTGCCTTCAGTGTATTGATCCCTCTGCCAGGTTAGCTCCTTGAATGGCAGGTTATAAGTGAAGGTGACTAACACTGAAGAGGCTGGGATAGCAAGCCCCAGCAATAGGTCCCTTGCCCATCACATTCTTACCTAAGGTCTCAAGACAGCAGAATTCTCAATGGTTCGAAGCTGACCCTGGCTTTTCGCTTTAGTAATGATGACTGGGAATCTCAAAGGAAACGATTTCCAGTACTGCTTCCTTTTAGAATGCCAGTAATGCCTTGGGATTTTCAAGCAGCCCAAAGCTGGGATACAAGGACACTTAAAAAAATAAATAAAAATGTTATTAAAGTTCTGGAAACCTTGGGAGAGCTTTGAGGTGTGGGTTGATTTCTATAAAGCCAGAACCTGTTCTAACAGGCACCCTCCCCAAAGGGTCTCTAATGGGCACCACATCACATGCCTCTAACTTTTCAGACGAGGTTGTTCGGGTGAATCTGATGTCTTTTATTAGACCAACTTTGGTCTAATAAAAGACATCAGGTTCACCCAAAGAACCTTGTCTGCCTATGTCCTTAGGCCAACATGGCTACAACCTACACTCCTCTAACGTTTCACACACCCTTCATATGTCCATGTTCTTCTTGGGACCTGCTACCCTGATTCTCCACTAAGTACAAGTAGGAGATTTTCAGTTCTGTCCATATGCCCTCCCCACCAAGCCTTGGACTGCTGCCTAGGAAGAAGCCTCACTCATTTGTTCCTATTCCAGGGCATGCGAGAACAATAGACTCTTTGTCATCTAACTGTCCAACTGCTGACCTGAACCTGACTGCGAGGGCAGGGCAGCACAGACATGACCATCACAACTATTCTTGGTGGATAAACTTCTGTTAGGATGGAAATGACCTAGGAAGGGGGATCCAGGAGGCCCAATAGGATGAACCTGAACAATAAAAAATTCAGACTGAATATGAGAAAAGGTTTCCAATAGGGAGGACTGCTGGGCTGTGGAACAGTCTCCCAATGGAAACCCTGTCATTTGAGTGATTTTACGCCAGGTGAAAGAATACATTGCTAGGAGCCCCTCCCTCTACCTACTGTCCTCCGTGAACTGGCTGGGAAGGACAGATGGAGTAAAAAGCAATGACACCCTTCTCAGTGCTAACATCAATGACTCTCTCATCTCTTCTCCGAGCTATTCCACAGTCATCCCAGTGACGCAGGTGGGCTTCTGTCTGGAAACAGGAGTGGCTGGAATGGGCATAGAGAGCCCTGGAACAATCAGCGGAGACAAGGATCAGGAAGACCGTGGGAGATGAGAGGTGGGGATAGGGTGCAGGTCTGTGAGTACTCTGACTACAAGCATAGGAGCCTTGGGAGGGGAGGGGGCAGGTGTCAGAGCCCATCCCAGGTGAGCTGCAGATGCTGTGAAGCTGTAAAGGGGTAGAGGAGGCTATAGGGAGATACCTGAGTTTAAGTATCAAGAGCCTGGTGCTCATGGAACATAGTTATATACTTAGACTGCAATCTTTTATGGGCAGAGACTGCCTTTTTGCCACGTGAATGTACAGCGCCTAGCACAATAATGCACTGATCCCTGAAGGGGGAGGTCTCCAGGTGCTACTGCAATACAGACAATAAAGAAGAAATTCCAGTGCATGCTTGGAGCTGGGAGCCAGGGGAAGTTAACCCCTGCTATATCTTTTTATCCAAGAAATCTACATCCCTTAGGAAAAAGAAGTCTCTTCCCCATGGTTTCAGTGGTGGGGAGGGGTTGGTAGGTGGTAGTAGCTGGAGGGATCCTCCACAGTCCAGGTTTGTTAGTGGCTGGAATCCCACCCAGAAGTTAGTACATCACCCCCCCACCCCCGTTGCCCCTCTTACCTTGTCTTGCACTCACATTTTCTACTCCAGTTCCAGACTCTCTTGTTTCCCAGTTGCTGGCAGAGAAACCCTGCCCTTCACCATCTGCCTGTCTATAGGGATCGGGCACAGAAGGGACAGAAGGAGGTTCAATGTTATGGGAGTGCAGAACCAACTTCTGCATGTGACAGTGCCTGGGGAATGAATGGAAAGAGGAGGCTGATTTGCCTGGTACTTACGTGTCAGTGGGATTTACATTTTCCTCTGCTCGCTGGGAGCATGTGTCCTATCTCTCTCTCTCTCTTTTTTTCTCTTCTTCCCCTTTAAAAATAAACTAAAACAGTGAAGTCATGTCCACCATCCACCTTGTGGAGCTGAAATTCCTCCTTGCACTTCTCTTCAAAGGTGCCAGTTGCCCTCGCCTCTTAACTTCTGCTCCAGCTGTGGGACTTCCCCCAGTCCCAGAGCCTCCACAGCTGCCTGCTCACACTCTCCCATCGGGTTTCCAGGGCTTGCCTACTGCAGGTGACAAGCCCATCTCCTTGCACTGCTCGGGGAGCCACGACTCCCCTCTCCAAGCATTCCTTCCACTGAAGTGGGGGCTTCGATGCCAGGGTTAGGTAGATCAAGCAGGGAATGATCCCACCAGCCAATCAGCACAGGGCTGGGAGGTGAGAATGGGAATGGGAATGAGAATGAGAGAGGGAGATAGGGAGAATGAATGATAGGAGGAGAGAATGGGGAGAAGGAATAGGAGGGGAGTGACAGAGTCATTATGATGGAGAGAGAGGGAATGAGGGGGTGGGAGAGAATGAGTGTGACAGATGGTGAGGGAGGGAGAGCAAGAAAGGGAGAAGGAGTGAGGGGGAGTGGAGGTGAGGAGAGGGAGGGAGAGATGCAGAGAGCAGCTGCGTGTGGTAAGAGCAGCATGGCACTAGAGGCCGGCTGCAGGGAGCGGGTGGCTGAGCTCAGCTCTCCAGGGCAGAGGGTCTTTATTTATTTCAAGTGCTTTTTTTATGTTGGGGTGCGGGGGGGCTTTCCAGATGTGCCAGAGGGGAGTGCTTTGATCAGAAGAGTTTACTGGCTGTTCAGGCACAAAAGGTGCCTCCAGAAAGTCAGTGCATCTGGATTTATAGGGCTCCCAGGGTGGCGCTGTGAACAGAGACATCCACCGGACCCTTCTTCCCAGCACACTGTGCCACAAGCATCCCTGGCAGGCAGGGGATGCAGGATGGGGGTCATAGGAATGTGTCCCTCTACCTCTCCCCTATTTGCAGATGCCCATTTCCCTGGCACTCTCTGAAGGAAAAAGGCTCCAGCCCTGTGCCCCAACCTCTGCAACCAGGTGATCTCATCTCTGGCACAGAAAGGAGCTGGTCAGAGAGGGAGGAATGCAGCCCCCTGTGGAAGGACATGAAAATCCTAGCCCTTTATAGCTCTTCTTCCTACTAACCCCAAGCTCCTTTCCCCACCTCATTCCTGCATGACATTTCTGTAGGCTGTCTCTTCAGACCCATCATTCAGTGGCAGAAAGCCTGTCAGTTCCCATTTCTCACCTGCAGTCTTTGAGCTCCCAAGACCCAGTTTGGGCTTAATATAAGTGGATGCCGCTCCACGGACTGACCGCGTCCACAGCCTATGCCCTGGGCTCCTCCTTCTGAGTTGCATGCCAGCTCACCTGCAGCAAAGGGGCCACAAACCAGTTTAGCCAGCCACCAGGCAGTTCCTCCGGTGCAGAGATGTTCTCCAAGTAGCAGAGGGGCAATTGAGCAGCCCTAGACTGGCCTCAGGGTAGGACTCTACCTGCAGCATAGCTCAGAGAGCAGATATGTCACGGGGTGAGGGCGGAGGGAGGCCGGTGTGCACTGCACCCTGGCTAGTATGGACAGGCAGAGTGGCTCAGAGGCAGGCTATATTCAATGCTAGCTGGCAAGTTATTCTAATTTATGTCTGGGGCTTTTAGAGGTGCAGCTTATATTCAGGGTCTGTGTGTGTGCCCCTCATTTCTGCATATGTATCCCTCTTTGTGTGCACATTGGTTTTGTTGGGAACACCTATCTCTCCATCCACGGGTGGAGGAGTAATTTCACTCATAATTTTACTGCGAGTCTCAAGATGGTTGGCCTTTTTGCTTAAACCCCCAGCCTCTGGAGTCAAGAGGCTGTGTGAGGATCTCTGCTTTTGGCATTTGCTTCAGGCCCTCCTTGTTGGAGAGAAAAGATGGAACTTAGGGCTCAGAAACCAGGGGAGGATTAAAAAGACCCCACGCTTAGGTCATTATGTTAGAAAATGTCAGGATCTTGAAGCCACTCTCCTGAGTTTGTGGGGACTGACTCATGATGCCTGAATGCCTGGGGTTGTTGAGGGGGAGGGGTCCTGGTACATACCCTGTATGCCCCTGTCAAACTCATCTAGCCCTGCGGGTCTGGGTGAGGAGGGCATAGCTGGTCTGCAGTCTGGATCAGGCCCACTGACCAGCTGCATGTGCCAGAACCATTCCTCAGGACTGGGCCAGTGTCGGTACTGCACGCAATGTGCAACCTGAACTGGCCTGCAGGCTGCTTGCAGTGCACACTCTGGGATTTTTTACACATGATCCAGGAGTTGAGTGGGAGGATACTTTAATTATAGTGGTTCCGAGAGCCGCTCTAATTAAAGCGCTGCTGCATCTCATGTATCAGCACCCCTGTGCTTCAAAATGACAGTGGGGGCCCTTTAATTAAAGCTTAATGAAGAAGCTTTAGTCAAAGCACCCTTGCTACCATTTTGAAGTGTGGGGACACGAATAAACAAGACCTGGAGGCTGGCTGGAGCATGCTAATTAGCATGCTCCAGCAGTGTTCCAACGTGCTGTAATTATAGCACATTGGAGCAGCCTCCCAGCACATCTACAGGTACCCTCTGGTTCCAGCACAACATGCAGTATTTGTACTTGTTGGTCCTGTGAGCTGAATCCAGCATGCAGGGCCTGCCTGTAGGTCTGATCCAGACCGGCCATGGATCCAAAGTGCAGGGCCAGTCTCATGCAGGCACCACGTGCAGCATGTGCCCTAGACTGGCCCCACATGCCACATGAAGCACATATAGGCCTCAGTCCCACACAGAACATGGTGCATGGGGGCAGTCCATGCTGTATGTCATGCATGTGCCAGGCTGGACCTGTGCTCTGGCTCTGCCACATGGGGATGGTCTGTGGGCCCAATCCAGCATGTAGGGCTGGTCTGGCATGTGCTACATGTGGTGTACATTGTGCACGCCAGCGTGCACCCCATGTCAGATGGGCTCTGCACACCACATACAGCATGCAGTCAGGGCCAGTGCATAGATTCATAGATAGATTAAGAGATTCATAGACTGTAAGGAGCTGGAAGAGACCTTGCAAGCTCATCGGGTACAGCCCCCCTGCACTAGGCAGGGAAGACAACTGGGGTCACGTGACCCCAGTGAGATGATCATCCAGTCTCCTCTTGAAGATTTCCAGGGTAGGTGATTGCACCACCTCTGGAGGGAGCTAATTCCACAGTCTCGACACCCTAACTATAAAGAAGTATTTCCTAGTGTTAAGCTTGAAATGGTCTTCCAGGATTTTGTGGCCTGGTTTTCCCCAAGGGTGCCCTGGCAAACAACTGTTCGCCGAGCCCTTGATATACTAGCCTGATATATCAGGGGAATATATCTGTGGGCTGGATGATGGGATTCTGCAGGCCAAATCTGGCCCGTGGTGCAATCACCTACCCTGGAAATCTTCAAGAGGAGACTGGATGATCATCTCACTGGGGTCACGTGACCCCAGTTGTCTTCCCTGCCTAGTGCAGGGGGGCTGTACCCGATGAGCTTGCAAGGTCTCTTCCAGCTCCTTACAGTCTATGAATCTCTTAATCTATCTATGAATCTATGCACTGGCCCTGACTGCATGCTGTATGTGGTGTGCAGAGCCCATCTGACATGGGGTGCACGCTGGCGTGCACAATGTACACCACATGTAGCACATGCCAGACCAGCCCTACATGCTGGATTGGGCCCACAGACCATCCCCATGTGGCAGAGCCAGAGCACAGGTCCAGCCTGGCACATGCATGACATACAGCATGGACTGCCCCCATGCACCATGTTCTGTGTGGGACTGAGGCCTATATGTGCTTCATGTGGCATGTGGGGCCAGTCTAGGGCACATGCTGCACGTGGTGCCTGCATGAGACTGGCCCTGCACTTTGGATCCATGGCCGGTCTGGATCAGACCTACAGGCAGGCCCTGCATGCTGGATTCAGCTCACAGGACCAACAAGTACAAATACTGCATGTTGTGCTGGAACCAGAGGGTACCTGTAGATGTGCTGGGAGGCTGCTCCAATGTGCTATAATTACAGCACGTTGGAACACTGCTGGAGCATGCTAATTAGCATGCTCCAGCAGTGTTCCAACGTGCTGTAATTATAGCACATTGGAGCAGCCTCCCAGCACATCTACAGGTACCCTCTGGTTCCAGCACAACATGCAGTATTTGTACTTGTTGGTCCTGTGAGCTGAATCCAGCATGCAGGGCCTGCCTGTAGGTCTGATCCAGACCGGCCATGGATCCAAAGTGCAGGGCCAGTCTCATGCAGGCACCACGTGCAGCATGTGCCCTAGACTGGCCCCACATGCCACATGAAGCACATATAGGCCTCAGTCCCACACAGAACATGGTGCATGGGGGCAGTCCATGCTGTATGTCATGCATGTGCCAGGCTGGACCTGTGCTCTGGCTCTGCCACATGGGGATGGTCTGTGGGCCCAATCCAGCATGTAGGGCTGGTCTGGCATGTGCTACATGTGGTGTACATTGTGCACGCCAGCGTGCACCCCATGTCAGATGGGCTCTGCACACCACATACAGCATGCAGTCAGGGCCAGTGCATAGATTCATAGATAGATTAAGAGATTCATAGACTGTAAGGAGCTGGAAGAGACCTTGCAAGCTCATCGGGTACAGCCCCCCTGCACTAGGCAGGGAAGACAACTGGGGTCACGTGACCCCAGTGAGATGATCATCCAGTCTCCTCTTGAAGATTTCCAGGGTAGGTGATTGCACCACCTCTGGAGGGAGCTAATTCCACAGTCTCGACACCCTAACTATAAAGAAGTATTTCCTAGTGTTAAGCTTGAAATGGTCTTCCAGGATTTTGTGGCCTGGTTTTCCCCAAGGGTGCCCTGGCAAACAACTGTTCGCCGAGCCCTTGATATACTAGCCTGATATATCAGGGGAATATATCTGTGGGCTGGATGATGGGATTCTGCAGGCCAAATCTGGCCCGCAAGCCATATCTTTGACACCCCTGGTGTAGGGGATCAGAAATCCAGTTAACATGCACTGAGTTGTGCCTGCACCAGCTGTGAACTGGGCCCAAGCATCTTGTCTGACAACACTTTAGCATGGCAGATCTTGGTGGAACCGACTGCCACAGGTGGTTATCTGATAAGAATACTCTGTAGTACTTGGAATATAGCTATCTGGAATATCTCTAACAGGGGTGAACTCAAGCCCGAGTCATCCCTGAAGTTAACCTGTGGAACTGACTGTCACTGGGTTGTAACCCAGGGAATTTACAGCCATAAGCCAGCACTGCTGTTAACCTGTGGAACTCCTTGTAGCAGAGTAGGGAATTTGGAGCTTAAGCGCTGAGTTTTGTCACACAGCTGGCTCAGCTCCACAGCCTCTTCCTCTGTTATTGCCACCTCTGGTTCTTAGTTCTCAAGTGTTTTGCCTGGAAACTGACTCCAACCTGCTGAGTGGTAGAGGGAGGCGAGAGGCAAAGAGTGCATGGGTGAGTCTGGAGCTGTCCAGGGGAAAACAGTGGTCTGGAATGTGTCTAGGCATCACCATAGAAAGCTGCTTTCTCTGATTTTAGCAGCAGCAGCTGGCAAGGTTTTTGGAGCTCTTGCAATGAATCAGACATCCAGGTGCTGGCAGCTGCTACTTCCATTGCATTGCCGGGACAGCTCTCGTCTGCTTGATTTTAGCAACCCATGGGCTATTTGTCTGGGTTGGTGACTCATTCTTCTTGCTCTCCCCCTCCCCCTTACTGCTCCCTCTCTCTGTGTAAGCATACGTCAGTATGCATATAGCAGTGAGCATGTATGTGTGCAGGAATAAGTACGGTTGAATATAAATGCCTATGGCAAGCACTGCAGTAGCTGAGCTTGAGCTTTCTGAAAATCCCTAAATTCAAGAAAGCCCCTTCCCCTGGCCTCCTTCCTACACACCTCAGAACAAGCCTGCTAGCCTTAATTTCTTTTCTGCCTTGGAAGAAGGCAGGCTTGCTGGGCTTAGGTCAGCAGACACCTGAGGAGAGGAGCCTTTATACCACAAAACACACAGATTGGAAAGGAAGGTTAGTAACAGAAAGGCAGGGCAGGTGCTGTCTGAGCTGCCTTCTCATCATGGCCTTGTCACACGCCTGTTCTTTCCTCCACATTGGAAATGCCTGTTGTCCAAGAGCAACTTGGACCAAGGCAGGGCCACTCCCTCTTTCAGCTCACACTGAAATGCCCAGTTGGGGCTCCACAGTTTGAGCCTCATCTGCCCCCAATGAGTCTGACAGCTGGAGAGCATCTGGCTGGCTACAATGGCTGGCTACAGCCCCTCCCTGTGTCCAGCTCCTGGTTAGTGGGCATGCTAGAACCATCATGGACCAGCTAGAGGCTTCAGCCATAGACTCGAGCTTGCACTGAAGATCTAGAGAAGCGATACCACATGCCGCCAGCAGGAAGGTACAGTCGGTTTATTGAGTCTCCCTCACTGTATAGTAATGGATGGTGGGGGAAGGCGGGAGGGTTGTGCAAACAGATGAACTGGAGCTACGATCCAAAACTGTCTTCTTTTCAGGCAGCAGACACAGAAAGCGCAATGATCACCAAGGGGTGCTAAGGTCCGAGGCTGAGGCTGTCCATCTCTGTTGAATGAGCAGAGCTTGGCTCCGGGATGCGATTTTAGGGATGGGGGGACAAGGCTGGAATCTGTATCCAAAAACAAGGAGAAGACCCAGGGTGTGAAACCAGCTCATACACATCCACCCAGCTGTCCCCAGCCCACCTATCCCTCCCCATCCTCACTCAAGCTAGACAGTCACTGTGATGTGAGGAGATGGGAGGTCTGGGATCCAGGAAAGGCCCCTTTCCTCTCTTTCCCCAGGCTTTGCCTCCATCCCTGGCCACTGCCTCTCTCCTGCCTCTCTGCTGCCTCAGAGAGAAGGCGGAGGACAGGGGAAGCCATATGACGGGGAAGGGGAGGCAGCAGCTGCCTGACATAAAAGCAGCTCTGAGTGGCCACGTAGGGGAAGCTCAGGCAGGGAAATTGGGGTGTCTACAATTTTCTGTTTACAGGGAATTGATTCTTTAATGGGGAAGGGCTCCATCTTCACCAGTCCTACAAAAGGACACCCCCACCTCCCAGGCTGCTCTGAAGTCCCAGGGCAGAGGCTGGGTTGGGAGTCTCCACTGGGGGTGGGGAAGGGCAACAGTTTTTCTTCAGGGAAGAGTTAGGAAGTCCATGGAGCAGGTTAGCAGGAAGGAGAGTCCTCTGAGGGGTAGAGTGGGGGTCATTGTGGGGGCTGCATAGTAGAAGAGGGTCTCTGCTGGCAGGATTAAGGGCTTTTGTGGCTGAGAAGGAGTTGGAAGATAAATGACTGTGCTGAGTCTCCCTGGTAGACTATGGACCTGAAAGGGAGGAGGGCGTTTCTCACTTACCCCTAGAGGAGACTGCACCCCCGCTTTTTCGGCCTGGTGGGCTGGGGGCACAGCACCGCTCGGATCGCCTCATCAAACACGGTTTTGAGGCCGCGCTGCGTCAGCGCCGAGCACTCCAAATATTTCACAGAATCTGCCCAGAGAGAAGAGGACACTGTTAGAGGCAGGAAGCAGGGCTGAAGGCAGCAGGGAAGGGGCCTCCCCCAGGAGAGATGCCAATGAGCAAGAATCATAGGGGCCAACACCAGGCAGGCAGATGTCCCTGTCTACCTATCCACCCATCTACCTACCTGCCTATTGCATCTACCTGGCCCTTGTCAATCAATCCTGGCTTTAATGTATTTCTCCTTACAACAGCTGAGGCAGGAAGGGGATATCTCTCAGCCCCATTACTACCAGCATGTCTTTCTACCCAGATGAGATGGACTTGATGGGATTGCTAACCCCCAAAGAGCTGTCCAGGTCTGGGAGCAACCCAGGGGAACTGACTTTGACCAGAAGACCTGAGGATGAGGTGGATGTGTAGAGAATGGGCACTCAGGGTCAAGGACAGAGGTGAATGGTTCTAAAAAGGCCTTGAGGAAGCTGGGCTTCACTGAGTGGCCACCTTTTCTCTGAAACTGCAGCTGGAAACATCTCATTTCTCACCAGCCTGTGTTTATGTGCCTGCAGGGTATGTAGTGTACTGATGGGCTGAGCAGGAAGAGAGCAAGAAATACCCAGGGCTGTGTATGAGGGTGAGGAAGAGCTGCCATCTTCACTGAGCTGTTTAAGCAAACCCCAGATCACAAGGACAGGAACAGGAAGCTGTGGTTGTATTTCTCCTGAGAGAAGTTAAAGCACTCGTTCCTCCTACTTCCGGACCTGAAGAGAAGGGCTCTGCCTATGAAGCAGCTGTGGCTTTCACAGCAAAGCCTGACCCAACTAGCAGCAGCAGAAAGGAGGAGCTGTTGGGGGATGGGGTGATGTGAGATCCTGCCCCAGACAGGCAGAAGGCAAGGAGCTGAAGTGTAGGACTCCCTTATGGCATGGCCAGAGAAAGTCCACGCCTTATCCTTCCTGAGCCCCCAGGCCTCCGTTCTGTTGCATACCCCTTAGAATAGGTCACATTCCCTTAGAGCTACACCAGGGGCCCAGTAGCAGCTCCTGTTCAGGTCTCTGACATGCTGGCTGTGTCCCTATCCCCTGTGAGAGGCTGCCAGTAAAGCACACATCAGGCCAGTGGAGAACATGTGTCTCCTCTTTTCCCTTCAGCATGCTGCCAGGACTGCCATTGGCCACGTACCAATCTCCTTGGCCAGCGCAAGGCCCTGTGGATAGGTAATGGGTGCCAGCTTCTTTTCCTTCAGCTTCTCAATGGTGTCCTTGTCATCTCGAAGGTCCAGCTTGGTTCCCACAAGGATGATGGGGGTGCTGGGACAGTGGTGTCGAACCTCAGGGAACCACTAGCAAGGGACCAAGATTTAGGGTATGGTTGGAAGAGGCCACACAAACACATGCGCAAAGCAAAAAGAAATGAGAAAACTTGGCTGTTGCTATTTCTTCCCAAACAACCCTATCGGCTATCATGAGCAATTACACCCATGACCTGAAGCAGTTCCCTTTGTGCGGTCCAATATGCATTGACCCTAACAAATGAACCCATCGGGTGACTTCTTTCCCCCAGGGGCTGAAGCACAGGACCAGGGAGGTAGGAGGAGACAGTGCTGAGCACTATGTTCTGAGTAACTACTTCAGGCCATCCTCTTTGTTGCCTTCTGGTCTCCCCTCTAGGTGGGGTGTGAAAGTTGAGGGGAAACACAATGTTGTTGAATGTTGTTCTCTCCTCACACCATCACCTAGCTGCACATATCCTCATATCCCAGTTATTACACCCACAAATCAGAGTTGTGCTGAGTTGGTCTGGTCTGAAAGCTCTGCACGTGCAATGAAAGCTGAGAAGGGAAACTATTGGGGAAGCCCCCAGTAGGAAGGGAATAGATTCTCCCCTTGTGGAGCAGCACAACTGGATGTGTGCTAACATCTGGCCTAGCTTGGCCATTCATCTCTCATGGAATGACCTAGAGCAGGTGACGGTTGGATGCTACTATTCAAGACACTCCTCACAGGGACACAGGAGAAACTAGTTCTCTGGGTCCACCACCCATTACCACCCAGCTGCATCATCCACATGACTGTCTTTTATGAGTTCAGGTCAATTCTTTTCCTTTTCAAATGACACTTCTACATGAGCCAGGATGCTCTTACCTTAGCGCGGACGTTTTCATAAGATGCCGGGCTAACGAGAGAGAAGCAGATCAAGAAGACATCCTGTAGACACACACAGCATGATAGAGTTAGGCAATGGGCATGGCAGGGCATAGCATGATGGTGAGGGAGCCTGGGAGGCAGTGTCCCTCACCAAGCCAATGCAAGAGAGGTGTGTGCTGGTGAGAGGGGTTAGACTGACAACACTGTCAGCTCAAGCCCAAGTTTATACCCAAACTAGGCATAGTACCATGCAGGTTCCCTCCATTCCTCTCAACCAGTATGACTCAGCCCTGACTTCAATGAACCACCTGCAGGGGAGAGAAGGATGTCCAGACTCCTGGTGCATTCATTTCTTGGTAACAGCTGATACTGCTAACCAGGGCTCCACCCAGCGCTACTGGTGATGGTGGAGTTTTTGTGAGATGGATGCCTGCCCTACTGGGAAATAGACTGACCCTTCTTTTACTTGTTTTCCACAGGTCACCAAAACAGCTACCATATGGTAATGGCTGCTACCAAGGTAGGGGCAGGTTCAAACTAGAAACTATGAATGATTGAGCAAGACCCAAATGGGGGCTTGGGTGCTCAGAACTGAAACTTTCTTTTAAAAAAAGATAGACTCTCAGTTTCCAACTCTTTCAGTTGTGAAGGAAACTTTCTGAATAGAAACTAATGTCCTGTTGTCCTCCTAGGTTTGCAAACAGGCTGCCTCGAACAATCAGTTCCAATGGGAGCTGTCTCCATATCCTGGTGACAATCAACTCAATGCTATCAACTCTTTGTTTGGCAAAGTGTTTTGGCAGAAATGTTCAGCTGCTCTGTGACTGTGGAGAGAGCCTGGTACCACCATTACAACCACCATTTCATCCCCTAGATCCCATAAGAAGCACTGTTTCCTGGAATCAAAGCTATTTAGTCTTACAAGCAGGTTACAACATGATATAAACGACTCCTTCCTTCGTTTTCGTATTCCTTAAAACATCCAAGCCATGCAAGAGATGCCTCAGGATTGACTTAAGATTTAGATGGATCTCCGTGTTATTCCAAACAGACCCTTTTGGTCTTCAGGGCTGACTAGATCTCAGAGAGGAACAAATCGAGCGATTTAAGCCCCACCGTGTTCTGAAGCTTTCCAGCACGGAGGGAGATGTGTTTGAAGCTATCCACCCTGGTGCTATGAATAGGAAGGAGAGGCATGGTAGATAGCAACCTACCGTCTGAGGATAGGAAAGTGGCCTCAACCGGTCATAATCCTCTTGCCCTGCTGTATCCCACAGCCCCAGGTTTACGGGCTTGCTGTCAACCATCACATTGGCCGAATAGTTATCAAACCTACAAGGCAAAGAGAGACAAGAGTGATCAAACCTACAAGGCAAATAGCGTTGGCTGTTCAGAAGTGAGCTGAGGGCCGAAGGAGGCTCTGTCCACATGGTAGCTCTCCACTGTCTCTGGAAGGGTGTGTCCCCATACTTGTCCCTTGGGCGGCTGCCTCACTGGGTGCCTTTACCTCAAAATGTTTCAGCCAACCACAAGTGTAATCCTATCACTCAGCTGCTCAGAATACTTGCCAGGGTGCAGTTTCTCCTGCTGCATTTGGGGCTCCCCTCTCTTTGAAACACCTTAATTTCTTTCTCCCCCTGTTTTCCCTTCCCAAACTTTCCCTGTTCAGCACTCCAGCTGTGTCCTTGTTAAGCCTTGGCTTGTGGCCTTCTTGTTGTAGAACCCAACCTGCCGTCTTAAAGTGTTTCATGCCACCCTGCTCTCTTCTCTGCATCTGTCACGCAGCTCAGATCCCCTCCTAGAACCTGATCCAGGAAGCCACAGTTACACCCAACCTTTCATGGAGTTTTTTTAGGGCACAGTGGGTAAGGACCTTGTATTTTGGGAGCAGAGCACCCCTTCCCAGCACCATGCTGGGGCCTGGGGCCAATAACAATTCAGAGAGAAGACTGCCTCCCAGGCGTTCCTTGGCCATCTCCCATCCTGACCCAGCCTAACATTTTTCCATACTCAGAGAGCAACCCTAAGCCTCCAGTTTAAAGTGAACCCAATCAGCAGTAAGAAAGAACTTGAATAAAGTTCATGAGAGAGAGCCCACTGTGTGTGTCCCCTTCTTAACAAGTTGCATCTCCCTGGACAACAACATGGCCACCTCTTCTTGCACACAGGCAGAGATCTTCAAAAAGCACAGCTGTGGTGGGAATAGCCCATAACGAAGGGCAAGGGGTTCAGGTTCTCTCAGCCCTGTGTGGACAGAGACTGGTACACCACCTCCCAAGATGCTTCTCTCTCCAACTACCCTATAACAGCAATATGTGCCTGATCCTGCCAATAAATCTCTGCTAAAGGGCCAGATCCTGAACTTTTACACCCTGCGCTGAGTGGTCCCTTGGCCTTAAAGGGGCTGTTGGTGAATAAGGTGCTCCATAATGTAAGTAAAGGTATGTTCTCACCTTGGGGTGCAGACCTCCCAGCACTGGTGCAGGGGAATTGGGTAGCTTGTCCTATCTTATTCAGGGGCTCCTGGTGCCTGGTACAGCCTATGGCCCACCCTAAACTACAGCTCTCCTTCAGTGAGGACGGGTTTCTCCCAGCCTTGCTCCCTTCCTCCTCTCTCCAGCCTTCATCTGGCCTCCCCCAGTTCCCAGGCTGACCTCCTGAGCCAAGGTTGCACAGAGCAGACAGAGCTGGCTGTGCTCCTAGCATAGAGGTTTACTGCATTAGAAGGTGTCCTGGGTCTGCTTGTGGTCCCTCTAAGCCAGGCTTGCGGGTATAAAAGAGTCCCCAGGATCTCATGGGTTAAACCCCTTGTTTGTTGCATAGGTGACAGGTTGGGACTATCTAGAAGCCTGTGCTGGCCTGGTGGCAGGCCCCTCCCCTCCAAACAAGCAGCCTTTTGGTGATGCAAGGGGAGTCAAGACTGACAGGTGGCTCTTCAGGTGACCTTGCATCCCTTTAATATCCTGCCTGTCCTCTCCCCAGCACAGTCCCCTGGCCCCTGGCTTCAGGATACTCACACAGTGGGGATGTATTCTCCAGGAAAGGCATTGGTGGTGTAGCTGATGAGGAGACAGGTCTTGCCCACAGCTCTGGAAGAGAAAGAAAGCACATACAGGACATGTTACTGTGACTTCCTGGGGAGCATGATTCCTCCCCTTGCCCAAGAGCCAGCCAGATCAGGAGGGTTGGCAGAGAAGGAGGAAAATTCAGACTCGCAGCCCTGAGCTCTGTTCCAGGTTGGAAACAGGAGGAAAGAGAGGCATGCAGTTTCATCACTGTAGTGCCTTCTAGTCTGTTGGTTTGCAGGACATCTTTATAGACCTGACAAGGGTCTGAAAGGCAGCCAGTCTGTGGTGGAGGAGGACCGCTGCTTATCAGGGCACGGCACTAAGCAGTTTCAGGTAAGCTGTGATGGAGAGTACACTGCATCTCATACAGCACTGAGAATGCAGGGCAACAGTGCTAGCACCCAGATCGAATCTGCTCTGGTTCTGCTACCCTGGCTAGACACATGGCTATGTGCTTGCCACACCTCTGTTTTATACCTCATCCAAGCAGTGGCATCTTTGACAGGATGGCACTTGCTAATGCTCTACTGAAGCAGCACAACCAGAGCCAGGAGAGAGCACCTCACACAGAAGAGCAAAGGCTTGCCTGGGCATTTCTTGCACATTCCTGTCAGCTATAATGTCATTTCTGAGGGGGCTACAGGCAGCAGGCAAGGTGCCCTCTTCAACTCCTCCTCCCACATATCAGGGGCCACTCTTGGGGCTTCTGGGCCTTCCCCTCTGGTCTCACCTCCAGGGCAGCAGGGTGGGGCACCAGGTGGCAAGAACTGCAGAGCAGTCCACCTCCAAGAGAGGCACTGGTAGACAGGAGAGAGGTTTTTTTTTTTAAATTTAACTTGTATCCAAGGCCAAATTAGCCAAAACTAATTCCAAATCCAAGAGTCCAGAACCATAAGTGGCCCTACTACCGGCAAACATCCTCCACCTGCATCTGGGGCTTCAGATGTTTCCAAAGGAAGAGGAAGAACTAGGAAGAACTTCTTCACAGTTAGAGTGGCCAAGGTCTGGAACGGGCTCCCAAGGGAGGTGGTGCTCTCCCCTACCCTGGGGGTCTTCAAGAGGAAGTTAGACAGGCATCTAGCTGGGGTCATCTAAACCCAGCACTCTTTTCTGACTATGCAGGGGGTCGGACTCGATGATCTATTGAGGTCCCTTCTGACCCTAACATCTATGAATCTATGAATCTATGAAAACCTTTGGCAGGCATCCTACTCAGGCACCCTCCTTGCAGGCCCAGGCCCGGAGGCTTGGGGTTCGAATGCCCCTGAGTTTTACTTGCCCTTAGCCATAAGGCCCTTAGACCAAGCAAGGGAGGAGACTCCCATTTCCATAAACTGGGCTTAAAGCCGCTGCACTTCGGCAGGTACTGTACCACGCCAGAAGAGCAGTTCTCTTGTGAAGTGGTTCAGAAAAGCTGTCTTCTTGGAAGCCCAAAGAGGAAAGTGAGCCTGTCTGCTTGGGGGCAGAAGG